AACACGTCTGTCTCTGTACGAGGGTCCGTGCCGGTCTCTGTGCTCGAGGGCTGCCTTGAGAAACGGCGCTAAGGGCTGCGGGGGAAGGATAAAACCACTCCAGAAGAGGCTTTGAAAGCTCAGGGAACGTTGGGTTTTTTTTATTTTTCCAATTCATTCTGGAAACCTTAAGTACTTAAAAAAGCCAAGAGGATACACCTCTTCAGATCTGTAAGAGGAAAAGAGAAGGAGCGAAGCACATGAAAGCCAACGCTTCATCCCTGCCTTTAATAATGAATTGAACTGAGCAGAGAGCAAGAGTTTCAAGGTCTCTGCACCCAGCTGGGAGCCCAGCGTTCCCCTGACCTCCTCCTCTCAATGCTCTCTGCTCAAAATATGAGCATTTACCTCCCCACCAGCCCATGGAGAGACCTGGCTCAGTGCTGCAGAACTGGGCACACACTTAGAAACTTCCACGGCACTTATCAGACCCCCAGCGCGGCCGCTCAACCTTTCCCCCTCCCTCACAAAGCCTTCACAAACGTGCCACTGCGTCATTCTTTTGCCCTCTTGCTTCAGAGTCCGGGGGCTGAATTGGCCGCCCTGCACTTTGCCCTGGGCTCGTTCATCGTTCCTCCACGCGGGAGGAACTCTAACGCACCCCGCGCGCCTCGTCAGCACGGAGGTCGCGAGCCGGTTCGTCGCTGATGAGGAAAGGCTCGTTAGGCGGTGCTCGTTCAGGCTACAGTGAAGGGAGCACAGCTGAGAGCAAGGGGGGGTTCAGTCTCCAGGGCTCAGCAATGAGACGTGGCTTTGTGGCTGAGAAAGCACTCACTAGCCCTACTCCTACAGGGAGATGTATGAAAATCAAGTAACACCCTGTATGTAAAAAAAAAAAAGGGGGTGTGTGAACCTGGGTAATCTGGGTGAGTTTAAGCAGTAACTATCAGATCTTCCCAAAGCCCGAACCCTCTCCAACCATCATTTCCATCTCCCAGCTCTTGCAACAGCCGCTTGGGGCAAAGCAGCCCCGGCCGGGTGATTTCACGGTGCCTCCACCTGCCACGCTCACCATGGGCACTCGTGCTCAGTCACCCGTGTGTTCACGCCAGCCGGCACAGCGTTTGCACGGTGGGCACTGGGAATTTACTCTTTGATCTAAAAGAGCCCAACTTTGGCGACCTTCTGGGCATGCTGCCTGTTTGATTCAGTTTCTGAAGACTAACTCCTCGCTTTGTAGCTAACAATGGCAAGAAAGACTGCGCTAAGTAGCTCACCGGGTTTCTGCAGACCTGACCCCTGCCTGCTGCTCCCAGCCGTAGGGCACGGGGAACAGTGCACAACTTACACCAACACAAGAAAAACCAGAGTGGAGCAAAGCACCTATTGATGAACAGTTAGCAAGAGAAGGGGCTCAGGAAGACCAAGGCTGCGGTGTGGAAATAAAGGAATAGAACAAATTTTGCCAACACAACATCAAGGAAGTACACGGGGACAGCTGTAGGGTCAGATCAGCTGTAAAGACCCGATCGGGGATAGCAGAGCCTGCCCACTCACCCTGCCTCTCAGGGCACACTGTGACCAGGTCACCGTTGGTGCCAAAAGGATGCCACGCTCCCTACGCGTGGAATAAAAAGAGACTGAAAATGCCTTTGGTCTCCGGCAGCCTCCCCCCAAGCCCCTACTTCTACAGAAAAGCCAGCGGTGAAGCGGGCAGCCCAGGTCCAGCCCTGCGGGGCTCCAGGCTGGTAATTCCGCACAGCAGCTCAGGCTCGTTCCAGCCAGGAACCAAGAGCAAGCAGCAGTGACGCAGCAGGGATGGGTGTCCTAACTTCCCGGGAAAGCGCACTTGTCACAGTGACCTTAATCATTTGAGCAGAAGCTTGGCCCTACTGAAGACCTGCCAGATTTCTTATCTTTATTTCCCAATCTGCCATCCCTGAGTGTACGTGATGTGCCTTACACCACGCACTCCCCAGGAGCAGCCCCAGCTCCACGGGTCTGCAAAGCGCTTGCGCACTTTGATTTTTCTCAGAATGAACCCTTACTGAATTTACCGTTTCAAATGTTTTTATTGAAAGCCAAGTTCTTGACTCTACGTTGTTAAGAAAAGGTAACAAAAGAGAAGCACACACCAAGTATTTGGACCAAGGGAAAACAAATGCAAAGGAAACCAAACCAGCTGACCTCACTGTTTTCTGTAAGATGCTTGGAAGGAAAGGGAGCTAGAGCAGTCAGTCAGCCTATGAAAACGCACAGTAAGACCTCTCTTTCCAAAAATTCAGTGATTAAAACTAAGGAACAAATGAGTTTTATTTTATTTACAGACTGAATAAAGAAAACTTGTAGTTGTAGAGGGGTTTCTTATGACAACAAAATCCAAATGGCCTTTGATAAACTGTTTGAAGGCTTGGTTCTTCATCACCCCACTCCACAGAAAGCGTTAGCAAGTCTCTTGTTTTGCTAGGAAGCTGGGGGTGAACTTAGTGTTCAAGAAACCAAGAGGCTGTTGCCTCTGAAGTTGGAACAAACTCGCCCTGTGCCCCTCCAGCCTTGCAGCTGTGCTCCATGCACCCATCCGCACCTTGTCTTCCACAGGGTAGAGGTAAAATGACGAGGCACTGGTTTTGCAATGTCAGTTGAAGGTCAGACTGTAATTCTGGCTTCACAACAGCAACAGAACCCAGTTCTTCTGGGAACAATAGCCTGACTGAATGATAGCCCCCAATAGCTGGGCCAGAAAGAGTCCCTTGTTGTACTTGCAATTAAAAAAACCAAAACACAAAACCAAAAAACCCCCAGAGCAGCAGAAGCTGCATGATCTGAATAATGGAGAATCTGCCGTTCAGCAGAAAATGCATTCCTTGTAACATGGCACCGAGCTAAACACGAATGGAGTCCCTGAACTATTCCTATTGGTATCTTTGGTGCTACCCTTCCGCTGTCAGCAGGGCACCGCGTGAAGATCTCTGCTCTCACCTGCTCTCTTCTCCTCTGAATTCCACCCAGGCCTTGTTACGACACAGTTGTCATGACACTCGAGTGTGCGGTGAGTGGGCTCACAGGCCTTTCTTCTGGGTGAAAGATGGCATTGTGACTTCAATAAGTTTTACAATATTAGCAAATAAGAGAATGATAATGCAGTTTCATAACATTTCACAGTAAAATTACAACTGTTTTGAAAATACATTGTCCCAAAAACATTCTCAGTAGTAAGGTCGTCGTGGATTGTTCTGTGGGGAATAACAAGAGAAAATTAATCAAAATTGCTGTCTTCACAGAACAATGAGCGTCTGAGCTTAATTATCTGAAAAAGCCACTGAAACGTGACATTTCTGACAGTGAAACCTGAGGTTCTCCCATCAAAAATTACAAATGTAGCTTTCTAAATGTACTGGCACACTGAATGTAACAGAGGCAGATGCAAACTTACAAGCCTTTTGCAGCCAGGAAAAGTTATTCCAAATAACCCACGGATTCATGGATGACCCATCTGCTTCCTTTGTGCGCAGCGTTTATACTTTGTACGTACCAGATAAAGTTAAAAACAGGGGCTTTTGTATGGAAAAAAATCATAGCAAGGAAAACCGCGCATCCATGGATGTTTTGGTAGGGATAATTTGATTCGTGTCTGGTTTCAGGACCACCTTACCAATGGATTTGGTCGGAAGCGGTAGGCGAGCATCATTCGTTTACGGAATGCTTCGTACTCATCATCCTCCTTGGTTAGCTCAGCGGGACGATCGATGCCAAAACCAGCTCCATCCACAGCAGTAGTTCCCCTGTTCGGAAAGAAGGAACAAAGTCTCCGAGGTAAGCAGATGTGACAGGTCACCTTCCTCCTCATCAGAAATACCTGCTCAGAGCTCAAGCATCAGGGAGCACTGGGCATCAGCAGAGTGTGCTGCATCAAGACAGACAGCTAACACCGAGCAGCTTATTGCATTTGCCACATTTCTACGTTGCCCTTCCAAGTCAATGACGCTTGCTATCATTAGATGGAAGCCGTCAACATATATTTGCTTAACCTTTTACGGCTGGAACAGAAATACCGTCCACGCTTCGGATGCCTCCCTACCGAATGCTGCTCTGACTGACGGACTAACCTCTGGCAACCAAATGCGTTGATTTGTACCTCGCTGATTGGAGGTAGGCAGAACTGTTAAACAATGTGCCTGTCTCCCACTCCTTCACTCCAGAACAGTCCAAGAGTGAAAGCAATTCCTTTCCATCTGCAGTAGCACCTTCTTTTCCCTTCTGAGAAGATCAGAGATGGTAGAGCCCAAGCAAAATCACAACCCTTGTTCGACCCTGTGATGGGCAGAAACTGCCTTCCTTCTGCCGTGTGCATGCCCCGCTGTTTTGATTACAGCGATCTTTTATTGCAGGACTTCTTTGAACCAGTAAGCACATTGCCAGAGAGATCTTCTTGCTAAGGAGAAGTGCTTTGTAGAGATACTTTCTATTGTGCAGTAAACAAACAACTGTTATTTCTAAAAGGATCTAATGCTAAAAAACAATTCGGAGTATTTCCTATCCCCAGTATTTGGTTCTGAAGTTCAGCATATGTTACCAACAGATGATCCACCTAAAGAGAGATGCTCATCTATTTTTGGATAGAACTCTCATAAAGCTTTATTATATACAAAGTGTGATCAAATCAGAAAACTTCTGCGCAAAAGAGTGACGTCAAGACAGTTGCACGATCACACACAAAGCATCTTTCAAACACCGGTCTAGCAGCAGCATACGCTGGTCATTGCCTTCAGCCACGGTACCCTAGGGACTAGGTAGCGGGCACCAATGGTGCTTCAGATGCAAAAGGCATGTTCTTTAACACTTAAATAAATCGATGACTTTAAAGACATGACTTAATCCTCACGTGCCCTGGGAGAGGCGAGGTGCAGAAAAGTGTTAGCATCTTCATTTTATAGATGGGGAAACCAGGGAGAAGGCACCTCTTGGAAGAACGCACTATGCAAACTGAGATCGGAAACAAAACGCTCTTGGTTCAGATCATACCTCCTGCCTGAGATAAAGTAACAAACCCAGGCCTTAGGGGGCCCAAAAGAAATCAGAAATGATTCTTCTCCTTTGCTGCGAGGATTCCATATTCTGGTCAAGTGATGAATTGCAGTCACATTCATTGCAGCTGCTTCCAGTAGGCTGGGGCAGGAGCATCAATTACCGGCCCAAGAGGAAAGGACTAAATCAATAGTAGAAGAACTCTGCTTACTTGCTGACTGGGTTTTTAATCCCCTGTCCATCCGAGCCAAGTCCCTCGCCTTCCTTCCAGCCCATCTTCATTAGCATTTGATAACCTATGTTTTCCACAGTCAGTTTGAACTCTTTGTATTCAGAATAATCTGGCTCACGTCCTTCCTGCGGAGACACAAAAGGTAGCGTTGGTTATTTTTTATATGCGTCTATCTTTGTGGGTTAGAGGAGGGGAAAACCAGCTTCAGCTACTCAAAGTGAAGATGGTTCTGGCAAACAATTAATAACTTGTACGATTTCTTGGGATTCCAGTTCCGCACCACTATAGAGAAGAAAACAGGTAAATGATAAAGCGCTGCGCAGCCCTGTAACATAATCTGCAAGAAGCAGTGAATGCTACTGTGAGATTAAGCTGAGAAATATTTAGCTCCTGAATTTAAAGTTGCTCACTGGATCAAGCTTCAGATACAGTTCTTATTTAAGCCGGGATCTCCAGGGAACGTTAGACCCCACGCTGGTTGCATGAAAACATTACGAAGGATGCGCCAGCATCAAGAAGTTCTACAATTTAGGAAAAATTGGCAGGTATTGAAGTGCTTTGCATAAGCTTTTTTGCAGGCTTTATATTTTCACTTTACTGCAATCATTTGGATAAAAATTCAAATTTTCCTTGCTTGGCATCAGCAACCACTTATTGGAAACAGGAACAGCAGACAAACAGTGGGTAGTCACAGAGGCTTGTCTATAATTTCAGCTAACCTCCAAATACCATCCCAATGGTCTGTTTTCTAATTTGCTACAGCCGTTTCTCTGCAAAGAGCAAAAAAACTAACCCCTTGTTTCCTCCAGAAGTAACAGAGCTCCCAGGGGAAGGGCAGAAGTACCTCAAGGCTGCAAGGTAGCTAACTGCTGTGAAAGAGGGCTAAGCATGCTTGAGATCTTTCCCTCACTGCTACGGGACTAGTCTGAAGCACTGCCACTGCCCTGTGAAGTCTCTGCTATTTCACCTTCAGTGCCTTGAACGTCTCCATGAATTTCTCCAGCTCGTCAGGTGGAAGAAAGTCTCCGATGAAATGTTTCCCTCTGCCCATCTGGGTCAGCTGCTCAGCCCACTCTGCCCAAGACACAGAGGAGAGAAAACAGCAATAACGCAGCATTCTTTGACTTGGAATTTCAGAGGGTTTGCAAAGCATAAAGCCTCACAGTAAGACGGTTATTATCTCCACTCAACAGGCAGGGAAGCCACAGCACAGACCAGTGAAAAGTGACCCTGCAACTCCCACGCCAACAAGGCGATCTCAGACATCTCCCTCTGGAGGCCTTTGTACAACCGCGGAGCAAGAAGTTTGCACGGCAGCTCCCTACACACCTCGCGTCTTGTCCATCTCCATGCGTCGAAGCTGGTGCTCCCACGTTCCCAGCTCACTGTCCACCTCTTCGTCGCTGTCATAGCCATGTTGGTGCTGCTGAATTGCCTTTTCCCACATCATCTGCATCTCCTGCATGGCTCGCTTGTGCTTCATGATCATATCGTACATCTGCTGCATCTAGGGGAAGAGATGCAACAGCGCGCTCGATAAGACAACCCGTTCAGAGGCAGCAGAGTCTGCCACAGAGGCACGCAGAGCTCTGCGGCAGAGCCCTCACCCGCCCCAGCTGCCGTACATAATACGGGTTATGACAACTACAAATCCCAACGGGCAGTGCTGTTGCTTGATCTGATCCGCTCGTTTCTCACATCAAAGAGGAGCATAATGTGCTGGTTCCTCTGACAGAGGCACTTCGATATTAATACTGAGGACTGCTGCCATCTGATCAGCCCTACGCAGTTTAAACACCATCCTCACCTTCTGGCAAAAGCCATTTCTGCTCTCGTCCCCGCAAAGCTTGCAAGTATCTACTCACCTTCTGCCCACCACTGAAGTAATACATAACCAGCTGCAGATGTGACACAACAGACCTTATAGATTTTGGGTTTTAGTTCAGTAGGACAGCAATTGGCTGGCTTAATTCATATTCCCCAAAGTCCTCTAATATTTCTGCTGACTGCAGCATCACATGATTCTCAGGCATTCAGCACAAATCCTAGAGATTTATTTGTGGGCCATTGGGAAAGTTTCTTTGCTATCTCCACCTCCATTTTCCCATCTAACCCTGCCATGCTGCAACACAATATGCTGGTGGACAAATTAATTTGGAAATCATTTCAGGGCATTACCTCCTGCTGCTCCTTCAGCTGTTTCTTCTGGGCTTCAGAGAGTTCCGTCACACCCACCAAACCAACCGGTTTCCCTTTTTCATAACCAAGACCCTTGAGGTCCTGAACTGCAATAAGCACATGTTAAAAGACTTTCAAAAATTTGAGACAGCTGTTGAGACCAGCGAAACCACCTCTCAAGATCCCCACATGAAGTTTTACACTCATTTCACGGTTCCAGCATTGAGACACTTAACTGAAGAACAACAGCCTGGTAGGACTTAGGAACCACAGGAGCAGGAAAGCCACCGGGCCGCACCTCCTTCGCCAGCCAGCTCGGAGTATTCCCTCATCCTGGTCCAAGGCTCTGCCCTATCGTGTGAGCAGACTCGCCAACTGCCTCTCACATCCTCAGAGGTCACACTGCATGGCAATCTGCTACACCACGCTTTAAAAATCGCTCGTCCTTAAGATTAATTCTCCTCATAAGGCTTTCTCGTGAACCCCAGCCATTGCAAAGAGTGATACTTAATTATTCAGAATTGAGTCACAAGCAGATCTGAGCCTGTCAGCATATTGTCCAATCTGCGCACGTAAGTGTCTGCTGATTACTATGTAAACAGCAACTTCATTCAAAATGAAAAGCAAATGACCACATTAGAATAAAGACATGAGCATTATGCTGCTTTTGGAAGTTGCTGTTCCCCAAGGAGATTTTAGTTTCTAATCTACAGGCTCAAGAAAAGCATTGCCAGGGATGTCGCCCCTGCTTTCAAAGAGGCAGCACTTTAAGTATCTGCTTGACAGTCCCATCGATGTATCCTCCTTTTTCTGCAGCATCCCCTTTTGGAAGCTCTTCCTTTGGAATGATTTTTGCTGTCATATCAGATAAGCCCTGAAATTAGACATTAACATTATCTGGGCAGGGCGCCTACTGATTTAAAACGACCATACGGCACTCTGAGTTCAAAGGGCAAGTTAAAGGAAAGAGAGAGGGAGAAAAAAAATCCAACCAGGAAGCCTATTTGTAATTGCTACACCATGAAACAGAGTAATAGAAACATTGCTGGGGATGGAAAAAAAAAAAGAAAAAAAAAGGAGATTTACAATGGAGATTGTCTTGCAAACTTGGTTCACATGTATCTAACAGGGCTGGCTGCTCCCCTCTAAAGCAGCTAAGCTTTAGAGCTAAGAACCCAATAGTTAAATATTTAAAGGATTAGAAGACGATGTACAACTGCACTTGAAAGCGTGCTGCATTTTTCAATACAAGGAAAAGAATTTCTTCCTAATGACGGCAAAAACCTCCATTTGAATGTAAGTCCAGACTACAGTTAAATGATGCTTCATTAATTATTCATTATCTATTAATTATGAAGCCTGATAATAATAGGATCATTGTTCATGACACCAAATGTCTACACAGCATGCTAATTAGGCCCCAGGGGTCATCTTCTCCCTTCCTCTTACTCGCACTCAGGGCAATTGATCTGAACACTTATCTCCCCTCCTTTCCCACATGCTTTTGGCTGAGCACACCACGATTGGGAAGTGGCTTCCTTAACTCCAAGCCTCCCAAGGAGAACACCAACCAGCGCATCCACCTTCCCTTGCACAGCTACAGCCTCTGCACATTCGCACCAGTGCCAGCAGTCAACTCTGCAGGAAGACTTATGTAAAACACTGCAAGAGGTTTTCCAAGAGGAGGAAAGCAAGAAGCCGTGTTATGCTAGGTTTGGTGCTAGGATACGCACTTTCAGTTCCTGAGAAATAAGAACAAATAGAAAAATAAACCTACTTATTATTGATAAACAGCCCCATTTCTGTCTCGCTGAGATTTGGAAACAGCTATAGCGAACACACTATGCGTGTTCCATGTAAAGAAGGATCTGGCCCCACATGTTATGTGACACTGGGGCACTTCAGCATCATCCCTAGTCAAAGATTCACCTCCTGTCTCAGGGCATGGGAAAGCTTTCTCTGAATGCACTGAGGAAGACTCTCTGCCCTTCACAGAGGTCAGCAGCTCTTTGGCTTAGTTCTGAATTGCATAAACACTCAGGCTAAGAGCCAGGCATGGCTCTAGAGGCCCCACGAGCTGGTGGCTTGCCAGCATATATAACCACCTTAAAGGAGAAAGGTGAGAGCGTAGCATCTTCTTTTACTTCCCAGAAAGCATACACCACTGCTCCTTCTTGTGCTAAAGCTACATCTGGTTTGTCTGACTGCTCTGGTACCTTGCAGGCTTGATGCTGAGATGATGCTAAAAGAGTCACTGCAGAAATTTAGCTCTGGGGAATACTTGGCCCAAAGTGTTACGATATAGGAAAAGTTGACAGAAAAAGCAAAGCTCCACCCCAAGCCCACATGTGAAGATAGAAAAGTCTATTCATAAATAAGATCAGCCAATGTATTTGCATAGAAATAGAAAAGGTTTCTAAGTTCCTTACACCAGTCTAGCACTAGGCAAAAGATAAGGAGTTGCTTCTCAGTCTCATGTTCAGCAGCCCTGGGAAAAATACACTTTTTTCTCCTTGAATGACATCAGCTTTACCTACAGGGTTAATGGTGCAGTCTATCTGCAGCATTGGCAGAAGACTACCTGAAGGTTTATCCCTTTCCCACATGCCCAAAGAGGAGCCTGTTACAAGAGAAGTGAATGTCCTTTAAGGACAGCAGGAGAAATCCCAATACAGAAGTGCCTGATTTTTTGCTTCATAGTCTGAAGATCTTACTCAATTAAAACTAATCAGACCCAAACCAATCCAATATTAGGTTTCAGAAAACTCTAATGACAGCCTGTAATTTCCCATTAGTCCACAGAGTTCACTAATCACAATATCTCTGTTCAGCTTTTCAGATGTATTAGTCCCTGCAGTACATATGCAGTTAAGCATTTCAATATCAATACATTTAGGAGGAGCCTTCCTTCTGTCCAAAAGGACTCTACTTTCTCCTCTCCCCGCTACTGATTTATTACTAAGAGTAGACAGGAAAAGAACCAGAACAGTCCTCCACTAAATCCAAAACAATTGCTGAGGATAAAAGATTAAGACATAGCTATTTAGGTACCAAAGCGTACTGTGCAACTCTAACCTTCCACAGGACCAGGGGTGTAATTTAGAATTCTCTTCACCTGTCAGGTTGAAGATGTTAATTCTAAAAACGGATTAGTCCATCTGAACCGATAAAAAAAACCCCTTCCCCCTGCAGAGCATTAACAGCGCATTAACGGTTGATTTGTTATGCCTGGCAAATTGCTGTCCTTTTCTTCTACTTGACACAAAGCCCTGCAGAAAGTGAGCACAAACACAACAAGCATGTCCCTGTCTAATTAAGGGGAGGCTAAAAGAGCTAGGGGAGCTTTCAGCAGAAAAAGCACATGGATACCCTTGCAGCCCTCCTCTGCAGCAGGAGGTATTAAGATGGAATCAGATGCCTGTTTTGATAGCGCCTGCCCAGCTTCATCATTGAAGCTTTGTTACTGTCTGCAAGGAAAAAAAAAAATTAGAGTCAGGAAAGACTCTCACATCTGATTTCTGCCTTACTATGAGCAGTAATTCAAGGTCAAATGCTGAAGCCGTCTACGTTGGTATCTTGTCCTGTACGTATGAGATGTATAGCCAAGACCCTATAAGGCTGCGATTAGAAGACAGAATTACTTAGGAACATCTCTTCATCTACATTTGAAGTGCTAGATTAGGAGACAGAGTCCTTCCTTCCAGACCTCCACAGAACCAACAGACACTACAGCACATATAGCCAACCCTGTATATTACCCAAGCCTAACAATCTAAGCTATTAACGGGTCAAGCAATGATCTCCTCAAAAACCCAGCCAAAGCAGAAGACCCACTGACTTGCTGGAGCAATGAATTGTACAGGCTGGTCATGTGTTGAAAGTTTTCTGTGGTCTCACCCTGCAATTCAGAAAATCATGGCTTGTTTTCTATTACTTGTCCCACTTCATCTGTTCTGCTATTGCTTTCTGGAAAAAGTCCTTCCTGAGACAGGTACTTATTACTTTTGCTGTGACGCTAGCCTCATACTATTAATTTTCTCAGTTTGCCAACACCAACTGCTTTATCTTACGTCTTCTTTTTCTCCTTTTCACATCCTTTCCCCCATACCACACTAATTGGGCAAAGGATTCAAAGATGCCGTCTTAAATGTCTGCATTCACCTGTTATCCTTGAGTGACTCAATTTTTGTATGCATCTCTAACTGCCTGGCTAATTACTTATCTGCACATGCACAGATGGGTCAGAGTTTAACCTCCAAGAGCTCACTAGAAGTGCCTCGACTGGAAGAATTATCTTCCAGAACTGAAAGAGCTGCACCCCCCAGGTGAACTTGGCAGGTGAAGTAACAGGAGCACGAGCCTCAACGCTGGATGAGGAGTGTGAACCCCATCTGCAATCAAATGAACTGAAATGGGTATAAATTGGAACTGGAAGTTATACTTGCATCAGCCAGCACTTGGGGAAACAGCTAGTCCCATTTAGCCTTCTGATCAGTTAGAGTGAGACAGAAGTGCTGCCCAGGGATTTTATCCTACCATGGGGAATAAGCACAGTTCAGCCTTTGATATTTGTTTTCTGACAGACTCTCTTCCTGAAGTGAAATAGCCCTAAATAGTGTAGAGGCTGAGGCTGTAATGAGCTATAGCACAGCAGGGTTTTAGAGATAGATAAGATCCAGTCCCTGGTGTCTGTGAGATAAAGTGGTTTATCTGGGTTTCCACACAGGGGAGAGTTAGCTGCTAGACCTAGCTGAAAGATAGGGGGCTGGCAACCAAGGAGATTACAACAAGAGATAGACTCGCTGGGTTTTCTGTTTACAAAGCCAGCTGGGCTAAGGCAGAACGCACCCCCCAGGAAAAACGGTTATTCAACACAATATACGAACCCACTAACCTGAAAGAGGGGAGGGAGAATCCAGCTGTTGGACGAGCTGTGGGAGCGGTAATTCAACCTTGTCCTCCTCGGGCCCCCACCTGCTCTTCCGCTTCTTTTTAGTAGTGCCTGTAGCAGCAGCTGTAGTTGTTGTTGCAGCAGCAGTTGTAGCTGTCTGATCAGGTGGAGTTGTAGAGGATGACGGTGAAGGTGAGGGCAAGGGCAAAGGAACGGGCAAGGGCAAAGGCGAGGGCACGGGCAAGGACATGGGCATGGGCAAAGGTGAGGGAACAGGCAAGGGCAAAGGTAAGGGCAAAGGTAAAGGTGAGGGCACAGGCAAGGGCAAAGATGGTAAGCACAAAGGTGATGGTGATGCCTCGGGACTGGTCTTCCTTTTCAGACTGGACTCTCCAGGCAAGGGGGCACACACAGTGCTGGTTTTGGCCCTACGGAACTCCTCCAGTTTCTGCCGGTAATACTTGTAGCCTTTGCTGTTTGGCTCATATAAAAACCTATGAAGAAAGAAAGAAAGAAAAAAAAAGGAGGAAAGTTTAGATGTAAGTCATATGCAGGGGTTGGACACAGCACGGTTTGGTCAGGGCTTTTCTTTCCTGCAATGCTCTTGCACAAGTAGCCTTTCCACACACTTCCTTGCTCTCCAGCACCATCCTGTGTGTATGTGTGTGCAATGCAGGGCTCCGTGCACCCTTGCAAGGTAGGCTGCAAGCCTTTGGGATCAGGAAATGTATTTCCCATTCATGAGCAAACCACAGCTATTTTTTGTTGCCAAATAAACACACAGTACTAAAAAGGATGACGGTACATTTGTGGAAATGCAAGGTCCTCCCCCAGAATTCACCTGTCTTCTAGAACACGTTTGGAAAAACTGCAAGGGCTCCATAACATGTTGGGTTTCAGTTCACAGAAGAAAACAAACATTCAGGTCTTACCAGTGGGAACGCCAAACCACTGCCTAAAGGAACTGCTCCCAAGCTCTCTATTCAAGCTAAAAGCGTTGACATTACCAGTCTGCTTAATTACACCATGACTACTCCTTCTGTTCCCTCATACACAAAAAACCATTGCTTTATTTGCTACCCCTTCCAGAAATAGGCATCTCTGACCTTTTGGGTAAAATAAAACTCCTCAGTCTGTGGGAAGAACATGAACAATCCTCAATCTAGCAGCTACGCAAAATAAAAAAAGTAAAAATCAATACAGTCATGTTTCTTACAAACACGTTATGTTTTTGGGCTCACTCCAGTTTAAATACTTCACAGAGAAAACTTGTCTATTCTTAACTTCTCTACCATCTTCCCTTTTTAGAGGAGCAGTTTAATAATTGATATAACCTCTCGTCAGGATAGTGCCTGCTCCCACAAGAAAACATAAGAGATGACAACCTTTCCGATCTACCGCTTCACAACATGCACAGGCAAACACAAACAGCTCTCTGACGTATTTTAAAATTCATTAAATGTGGTCCTGCATCCCTCCATTTGAATAACAGCACTGTGGATTGCTTCAGGACCAAGCAGAGGGCAGGACGGGGCCCTGCCTGTGGCAAACCCGATGAAATCCCAACAGAGGAGATGATGTTTAACTTGACCGTGCTCAGGTGGGATCACAGTGGTGTTTTAAAGTAAATAATAAAACAGCTCAGGTATTAGCACATCTATAATGTGCTAATGTGTAATGTAATTCACAACACAAGGGGCGTACCCCTGAGGGCCAGAAGGCAGCCAATAAAATGCCAAAATATCAGCAACAAAATAAGGCTCGCCGAGCCCCACTTCACTTCCAGAGAACACACCAAATTGTTTGTAAGAACAGAAAAATATAACACGGATGAGACCAAAGGGAGGCATTAAGCAGCTGTCAGTGAGCATTGAAGAGAACAATTCACATCTGAAAGACTGAAAAAGATATTCCAAAGGGGAACCTAATGGTGAAAGAGTGCTACCTGTATGTTAGTGAAGATGCTGCGTAAAGAGCAACCCAGAAATTAATTGGACAGCAGCGGTATGAGCAGTGGATGGGGGCCCACACCAACACGCAGCTATAGGGGAAAGTATAAAGGTTAGAATTATACTAGTACATTGCAACAGAAAGCAGGTGAGATGGGGTGGAAGTCATAAATTTTGGGGAAAGCAAATCAATTTCTCTCTCTATGCCTTGCTTTAAACTGTGAAGCTTGAGAACATAAAAGTATCATTGCAAGGTAAGTACACTGTCCTTATAACTTCAGACTCATCGCAAGCTTGTCCATTATTTCCCCTTAAAAAATCAGAGACCCACTGTACACTCAGCAGCAGGTTTCTTCCTTTACCTGAAAGCATGGTTCTCTCGGTTGTTCTGCAAGGCAATAGCTTCCACCTCGGGACCCCCGTCTGCTATGAACCTGGCCAGTTTCTCAGCAGAGTTCTTTGTCTCTTCGTCGTCTGGGGGTGAAACTTTAAGCAGGCTGTCAGTACTGGGCCCAACTCACACAAGCAACAGTCAAAGCCTATCTGTTCTAAGAACCCCAAGAGCAGAATAAGGGCAAAAGGTCGAGTTTAATTTTTAGAAATATTACACATCAACAGTCATAGAGTTTATATCACAAAAACATGATATCGTATAAGGTTGTACAACAACTTTGTCACCAGAGGAGTGCCTGTTCACACATCAGCTTCCCCTGTGCCAGGAGCCAGATGAGAGCAGATTAACAGACAAACCAGCTTTTGTCTTCAAAGATGGACACTTGTTTCTCTGCTGCAGAGGAAGTCTGTTTCCTTCTCATATTAGGCACTTTTCGATAGTGCTACACCTCAGCACTTGCAATTATCTCTAGTTGGCTTTGTCACTGACATCCCCAGGAGCAATGGGAAGGCCTTAGAAAAAGCGGCAAACTAATACCGCTCTGTAATCCCACTTGCACCTACTGTCACTACATATCTGCTGGCCGTTTTAGGGGAGGGTTGTAGGACAGGGGAAATTCTCCACCAAGCAGCCCCAATCCTCACCTGGAAGAAATGGCTACTGCAGCCTTAGTCCAAAGGCACAGAGAAGGCTCTGATCATTAATATTTCAAGCATATTTGATGCTTATAAGGAGCGAGGCAAATACATTATTTAGCCACGACAGCCTTATATGACATTTGCTACCTGCACAGTGTCAGTATTCCAGTGTGCTGGCACAGGACCAGGAGGCAGAAGACATGATTATAAGCCACGGACAAGTCATAACCTTTCCTTGCTTCAATATTCCACACCGGTAAAGTATGGATAATACTGCTTAGCTTCCAAACTTGTATCATTTAGCTGATAGTGGTAACAAGCTCTTTTAGCCTACAGTCTATTAAACCCTGATTTGTTTGAGCTGTTAACTCATCAGTATGACAGCTAAATTGCATTAATACTCCTTTCCATGGCAAAGGAAGCTGACACAGAGAGGCCGAATGATTTGCCAGGGTTGCACGCAGGCCTGAAACAGAGGCTGTGGACCAGAAGTGATCAACGCCTGGCCCCCAGACCACGCTTCATCACTAAGTAATTTCTGTCTCTTAACACAGCTGACCAGATTCCACTGCTCATGCTACCTGTCCGTTGGCAGATCACCCATTTCTGCTGTTTTCTCACCTGAAAACACAGCCCCTTACTTGCAAGGGGCTTTGTGTCCCAAGCAGAAAATAAAAGCTTTGGATAAGGAAATGGCAGCAGAAATGAGGATTATGTTCAGCAAACCAACCAACCATTTTCATTTACAACAAATCAAATAAGATGATGTGAGAGAAAGCACTTTTCCTAAATGTATCTTCAGGGCTGAAACACTTTCCAGAACACACACGATGGAGAATTGTTTTAGTTCACTTTAAGGATTTTGGAGAAATGCAAGGGAAATCTCTTTCAAGAGCCCTTTACATAGAGCATGGTACAGCATGCTGTGGGCTTGGGAAACAACCATTTGGCGCAATAGTTTGACACCATTGTGGTGATGTTTGATCACCATCATTTTGAAGTTTTATTTACAGGCAGCAGATTAACAGCCAAATACCCACTCCAACTGTTTCCAGAACAGACCTAACAAGCAGTTACAGAGAGCGAAGAAGTCAAATTGAACTTATGCAATTCATATTCTCCAGATCCCAGCCTCAATTACCTTTCTGAGAAGAGGATGCGTGAGAACTTTGATTCTCTTTTCTTATCTCTGCCACTTTCTTTCTGTAGTAAAGGAATTCTCTGCTGTTCTTATCATGCAAAAACCTAGGGTGGAGATGGAGGAAAAAAGGGCAAAAAATACACATTAGCAACAACTATACATAAACACTGACACTTTGGGATATAAACAGCTCAAAACCAAAAAAATACAAAACAGATAAATTACTCAGAATGCACTTAAAATGAGGATTGCAAAGCCTTCAGCATATATAAACACACAGAGCTTTAATCTAAGGACTTGTATCCAAATTTTTTGTGTCACTTGAAGGGAAATAAGTAACAGTCTCTTCTGATATGGGAGGGAATCCTCTGTCCACAGCCACGCAGCGTATCAGTGGCAGAGGAGACAAACAGTCCCGAGATCCAGTCCGGTATCCCCATACACTAGGCGTTGTACAGGCAGCCAGACTTCCCAGGCTGTAGTCCTAACTCTAGCACCATCGCAGTATCACTCTCTGCCTCAGTTTCCTCTGCTGTAAAACAATTACTCACAACAAAGCTCAAATCCACCAAACGATAATTAAACCACACACATCCACGAGAACTATATACACAAGGCTCATGTGGGGTTTTCTCCTACAAAGAGACAACGTTCTGCTTTGGAAGACAAGAGTTATCACCACACTTACGAAAAAGCTGGGTTATCCTTGTAGTCTTCCATAGCGACCTTCTCTAATTCTGGTCCCCCTTCAGCCACGAACCTAGCCAGCTTTTCCACCACTTGTCGGGTCTCCGCATCCTCTGGGGGTAAAACTTTAAGCAGGCTGTCAGTACTGGGGTTCAACTCACACACCAAACAGGCAACAGGTACATTACTTCTAAGAACCACGGCGGCAGACAAAAGTAGAATGGGAATGGGAAGAAAAAGGATGAAATGGGGGATCCAGTCTTACACAGCTGTACAAATTACAATCCCTAGGTTACTGTCAGCCTCTGCACTCCCCTAGTAGGAAGTTAATATTTTGTCTAGATTTTTCCTACAAGGAAAAGCCTAACATTTCAATCACCACACTTTAGGGTGCAACTTCGATCGTGACATAATTTGCTTCTGACAATTCTACTCCACACAAAACACATGATGGGGAGGAACAGGAATTTGGCTTGTTTTTCTAACCAGCACATTACTCACTAAAGATTACAGATTCCTGTTCCCAAGACATCGCTCTGTACCCAGATAGCAGAGACAGATTGTGTAGCTGGAGCATATAGTTCTCCCTACTGGCACATGCCCATGTCTCAACCCTCACTTGGAGGGAATCCCACCAGAGATAAGAGGCAAGCTCAGTCTCCAAGAAACTCTATTTTAGAGAGGAACCTACTAACACTGACAGTGACTACAGAGCTAATGCAGGACACGTTCAACAGGAACTAAGCACAGGCATTTGTCTACGCAATATTTTGGGTAGGGCGCTGAACAAAGAGCACACAGGAGTAGAGTTGTCCACACTGATCTAGACTAGATTCGAACTCATGATCTTTAAATTAAGGTTCCATATTCTGCCAGTGGCTACTTCTCACACTCCTGTAGCGCATTTCATGCTTAAGTTCAGGCTGGCTAATATTATGTTTTTATAAATCCCACCAGAAATAGCTAGATATCGTTTTGTAAACATATAATGAAGTAAATTGTGACACAAAGCTTAGCGTGACTTATTTAGCAACTCAAATCTAATTTTATACTTGATTAATATGCACGCATGAAAATCATATTATTAAGAAAACTGCCTTCTGGCTTCCTAGCCTAGATTATCCAGAGAAACTTGGTTACTTAAGTGTTGCAATATTTAACTTACAATTTTTCCCTCTAGGCAGCCACACCCAAACTGAGGACTTTTCATTTCCTATCATTTAAAAAACCCTAAAACTTCATTTCAAATGCAAGCATTGTATCTATATATGTTCTAGAGAACTCAGCACTAGCCGTAATTAATTGTACAAAAGCAAAATTCTTATGATTAGCAAACAATCAAGCTCCATTAAGAGAACGTATTTCTTCTCAGGTTATTTTTCACAGAGACTGGTCAAGCACTTGCCTTGATAACTCAAGAGAAAACAAATCTCCCTAGGCACAAACCAGACCTGGGCTAACTACGGCAAGCGACCCATCTCCCATACCGAGTTCAGGCTGGATCACTAATACCCAACAGCTTTCAGCCCTCGGGTTTTCTGCTGAAGCTGGCTTTGGAGGAGTCTGCCGGCATTAACCCGCATTTCTATTTCATGATGCAGAAGTCTGCACATAGGAACTGTGCTAAGAATATGAATTCATAACATAAAGAAAAAAACCCCAACCCTCCACTGGGGAAAATTCTTGAGGGTATCCTGAACTCAACTCCTATCTCTAGGGTAAGCGGACCTGCACCCCAAAACAAACAATGCAGTATGAGGGGTCATTTACCTTTAATTTCCAACCACTGCTCATAATCTTCCTCCTCATCTTCATCTGGCGACTGAAACACACTGAGGCGGTTAACGACTGGGGTCTGTTTGGAATGGGAGTAGTTCTTCGCTTGGTGCAGCATACTGCTCAGGACCTGACCAGGGCGCTTCCCAAACAGCATAGGTTTCTTCCCAACATTTGATGCAGAAGTGTTTGCCGAGTTACTAGTAGAACTTGGGGGAGGTTCTTAGAAAAAAATGAGGGGAAAATAATTCCTGTGCATCCTTACTGTTTTCACCTCAGAAGGTTACAAATAACAACTCAGGCAGTAATACAGCTGCAACAGGCCGTTATTTTCAGAGTAAGTTAAAAACGCTGACTGGTGAAAGCTGCGCAACAAAACAAAAGCTGTGATGATTTTTACGTGAGATTCGAGTTAGAAGAGAGATGCTTGTCTTTACAGCACGTAAAGAGGAAAAGAGGGCAAACCTCCCTATCAAAGAAAGACTTTAATCCGAATTTAAAGGGGTCATCACTGCTTTAAAACTTACTCATACTGGTAACAGCTTATAGCAGGGTGTCTAAAGTGAACATACATGGAGGCAGCTCACACAAAGCTGGCATCACCAGGAGAAGGAAGGCCTCCTGTTGCTCAGAAGTCGACCTACCAGTACTTGACTTTTCCTTCTGCAGCTTGAGAAACTGCTGGAGGAAACTGCCATCATTAACAAACTTGTTGGAAACACAGGCTTCATTGTCAGTACCGTCATCTCTGAACAGAAAAAGAAAAGCAGGTGATGGTACTCATCATCCTCCCCAGCTCCCTTCACATGCATTTATTTCAAACAGGAAACAAGACAAATGCTAATGACTACTAACCTTTCTCATCTAACTTTGAAAAATGCACCTAAAGACCATGCAGCTTGCTGTCTACAGCATTTACCCACGCTTCAGTTGGAAGCAGGGTAGCGTAAGAGAGCAAGTAGAAATCCTGCTTCAAGAATCCTGGGCAAGCATTTAGCTGGAGAACTGTGCTAACACATAGTCACAACTGTAAGAAAGCTAACAAACAGGAAGCTAAAAGTGTAGTAATAGCCCATTAAAAATATACGATTTGCTGCTAGCACAAATCTATTCACAAGAGTATTTGAAAAATCTGACTAGATCAATTAAAGTGCAAGTATCCTAATCCAACCTTTATTCAACTATTAGCTTCAATGTTCTTAGCACTTGCCCCCAAGGACCAGAGCTTTGCAAAGCTTGTCTCTTTGGTTTCGTTTGACACACACGCCTGTTTTCTGCCCGTGAATCTCCCATCTAAAAGCACCATAATTCGCACATACTCTCCAAACAGAGGTAGCTGTTGTATGCTCAGGTAATTCTGCCTCGCTTGCTGCTCCAACCTGGCCTCAATTTCTCTCTTTTTTTGCGCTATCAACTCCTCTTGGTGAAGAATATTCACGTTCGTCTTGGCTGATTTAGACTGCGCGACCCCAAACCACCGGCTCGCTTTTCCTACGGGAAAAGGGGGAGAAATGAAAATTAACGTCTGCGGCCTTCAGGGCCTCCCCGAGCCACCCCCACCGGGGGGATGATGCCACGGCCCGGCCGCACACAC